AACTTGCGCCACAAAGCCTATCATATCTTTATGCACGGAGCCTTTGAGGGCAATTAACATATCTTTCATCACTGCCACAGTAATGGGTAAGGACTCTGCGGGGGTAATTCTCCAGGTGTTCTATGAATTCACTGGTGGTATTATGTGAGATTGAATTGGCGTTTAGCTGCTCACTCATAGAATGCACATCTGCCGAGCAGCATTGTCTGTGCTTCTGTGGGCTGCTTGATGGGGATGATATTGCAGAGCCTGCAGTCATTGCTGGGCTGGATGTGTGCAGGGGATAACTGTGACCCTCCCCCCTCACAGGTCCCTGGAGCTCGGAAGAGGGACAGCGTTCAGCGCCATATTGAGGGGAGGGACCACCCGCCTGAGAGAAGAACTCGGTCAATTTGTGGGGCCCCTCCCTATTTTTCCTCTTCCCCATTTAGCCTCCTGTATGCCCCCCTCACTTAGAGGGCTTACTGTAATGTTGGCGGGTTCACCCGCTGCCGCCTGTCGCTGTCTTTCTCTGCAGATTTCGGTGGCTCCCGGAGCTCTGTCACTGAGCAGCCATCTCCATCGGCTGCCGGGAACGCCCCCGAAGCTTCTGGTTTTCTTTTCTTGAGAAAAGAACACAGACACAAAGTATGTTACCTTGCACAGAGGCCCCGGAATGGTCAGGAATTTGTGTACAACACCTTTTACCAAGTGTGTTGGTCAGAAGCACGTAAAGTACAAGCTGCTTACTGAGAGGTTTTTTCATTGTGTAATATACAACATACCACAGGTAATTTTTTTCTTTTTCACATCATATGTAAAATTAGACAATGCTTGGATATTTAGGTCATCTGTAACAAGAGAGCTATTGATTTTGTATGCATATAACAACTTATAGCATACAGAATAATTGACTCTACTGCTACAGTGGAACTACATGTCCCAAAATAGTTTGATACGCACAGACACTCCCAATAGACGGTAAGTAACAGGGTCTCCTTAAAAACATATAGCAGCACACATGCCTATTCATGTGCGAATAATAACTAATAAAGAGCTGAATATACCTGGGTTTGATTTGGGTGGGGTTCACTAAAGTTCAGATGCCAAACCAAAACAAGTACCAAGTCTTTGAAATCAGTAATGACCATTTCCTTGGCTAATAAGCAAGGATTTGTCACATGAATTATATGGAGACACTGACCTAGGGGATATGTACAAAAAAATGTAAAAAATGTTGTTTAGTGGGGAACAGTGATTTTAATAATACTTTATTAACCACTTAGGCTATAGGCGGACAGGAAGTGGTGCCGATGCAGGCTAACATGCCTGTACATCAGCCCTGGGAGTCCGTGTGTCATCCAGACATAGCAGATTATGGTGGTCACATGGTCTTGTACCATGTAATTGCTGTGTTTAATCTATTTCTTTCTAAGATACACAGAATATAACTGTATACTAATATTTATAGGTAAAGTTGATTCAGAGACTATACAATTACCTCTTGGGGGATCAGGAAGGAATTTTTTTACCTGCAGGAGCAAATTTGATCATGCTTTGCTGGGTTTTTTCTTGCCTTCCTCTGGATCAACTCTGTGGGTATAGTATTATAACAGGTTTTTTTTTTAATGGTTGAACTGGATGGACTTTTGTCACTTTGCAGCCAGACTAACTATGTAAGTACCCAATGGGAACCCGGATGTAAACATCGGTTCCCTCTGCTCTCATACAGATCAGCTGTGAGAGCAGACAGAACCGATGCAGCAGCCTGTGAGTGTACAGCAGCTTGTCAGGCTTAATTTACACTCAGCCTGAAGTGCCAGCCCCTAAAAAAAAAAAAAAAAAAAAAAAAAAAAAAAAAAAACTAAAAAGTGCAGCCAGTACCTGTCACCTGTCCTAGTGTCACCAGTGCTCACAATAACCCTGCCATACAACCCCACCAGCGCAATATCCAATACATAGTAAATAAATAAAAGATCAGAACACATTCATGGCATTGAAAAGGCTGCATCACTTTATTGGTTTTATGAAAAGTAGATAATAAATTAATCAAAAATATTACTTTATTGTAAAATAGCCAAAAACATTTTAAACAATAACATAACCGTTAGCTCAGTTATTAGAACTCGGGCATAATTTTTATAGCAATTACAACAATGCCCCACCAGCTTTCACTTGTTCACTGAAGCCCTTTCAATGCAGTTCTGTAAGCTTAAATTAAAGATCTCTAGGCCAACATCCAAAAGATGAATCCCATCTTGGCATTAAAAACCTGCAAATCCTCCTTCTAAATCTACAGTACATGTCTATAAGAGAAACCATCTAGAAGAGGTAGTTCTCCATCGCCTTATTAATCGTTTTTCAAATATTTTCCATCACTCTGCAGTGAGGGGAGCATAGGCAACATAATCTAGGAAGAATTTCAAAAAATATGACCACAGTATTGGCAGAGGTCAACTTAAACCTATATAAATAATTTTTTATTGCAAATAATACATCTAACGTTTTCATTCTACATAAGTAATTTCCACCTTGATGTATTATTGAAATAGAAGGTGGAGGCCAAATTTGAAACAATCTAGATAAAGTAAAGTATAACTGGCACCACTGTAAACCTCCAATATCCTTCCATATTACGGTGAAACGTTCACGTGACATGGATAAATTTGCTGAATAACTCCATAAAGCTGCTCTCTTACGAGCCCAAAATATATAAGTGCCCAACAATCAATACAGCAAGCCACACCTAAGAAATTAAAGAAAATGGTTAGGATAAATGTACAATTGAAACACTTGATCTGATCTTCAGACATACCCATCTGTGCAGCTTCAGATGCGGCTCCAATTTTGAATGAATGGGGGTTAAATCTGGACTGTAAACATAAATATTTTTCAAACCTTTCTTAAAAATGAAACCACATTTTTATTTGATAAGGGGTAACCAGTCTATATTTATAAGTAAATGACCCAGATAAGAAGGTTGGCAAGAAAGATATTGATGAACTGTCTTAACCACACAAATACTGCAATCTTCATCTTGTAACAGTGAAAGCCAGTGACCTTTCCCTAGTTGATCCATCTTAGACTGCTTTACAAATAACTTAAGTGCCAACTCATCAAGGAGGATTTGATCAAGTTTAATTCCAGTAATACCCTTTGTATTATAGGGAAGTAATCCAGAAATTCTTAAAGCCCCAAAAAATGCCAACATAAAAGCGGTTTTAAGAAGTAAAGCTTCATCTTGAGAAAAACAAATAAAAAAGTGGTTATTAGAAATAATTGTATTAAATTGGCCCTGGATATAGGTCTTCTAATGTCCAAGGCAAATTTAACTTTTTTATATCCTTTAGTGCTTGCCTAACCGAGAAAAATTGCATAGAGACCAGAAGTTTCATTAAATCTAAAGAAGAAGGAAACTCTGCCAAAGTTTTTACTATGTGGCTATACGAGAATCATAGCTGCATTAATGAAGATAAAAATTATTAATTGCTACTCTCTGAAGGATCCGCAGGAGAAAAACCTCAGTTTCTAGTGAAAGAGACCCATTTGTTCTAGGAAGATGTATAGCCCAAGTATGCAGGGCGACGGAATTCTTAATAGCCTGAAACACTACCATCATATCAAAAACTCCACAAGTGCTTCGGACAAACATGACCCACTGGATCTGCATTGTGAAGAAGTTGACAGAAGAGAGAGATCTGAAAACAAAATCAGGATCAGCAAAGGTATTAGCTTTTCCAGGAATAGATTTTGCTTTCAACCCAATATAAAATTAAAAAAAAAAAAAAAGTGATGTAACAGCTGAATAACAAACAAGGATTTTGAAGATAAACTGTTCACTGCAAATAACACACCTTTATTGTCAGTGTGCAAAAAGAATACGTCTATTGGCAAAGCTCGGTCCCCAAAACTCTATAGCCGCTATTACTGGGAAAAGCTTCAATAAAACAATACTCCTTGTAGCTTTTTTTCAGTACCCAGTATTCTGGTCAGCTCCCGCAGCACCAATGGGATTCCCAAATGGCTATAAACCCCTTAGATCCCGCAGCATCTGTAAATAAATGAAAAGCATCAGTCAACAAATTCTGCCTGAAAGAACTATTTGCCATTGAAATCCTCCAGAAATCTCGACCAGACCATCAAATCTTCTTTAAGTGAGCAGGTAAGCTGAATATGGGAATAAGGTGATTTCAAGCCTGACATAGCAACATATAATTGTCTGGAAAAAATTCTTCGCATAGGCATAATCCTGCAGGTAAAGAACAAAAGATGCCTTTAATAAAACCACAATTAATGATTTTATCCTGTCGATTTTTTCAAAGGTAAAGAAAACTTCATCAAGGATGTGTCTATGAGAATCCCCAATAATAATTGAGATGGGTCAGAGCAACGATTAGAAGCTGGTGGACCTATAAACAAAAAATTAATAACGCCATCGCTACTGGATTCAAAACAGATTACCCAATTTAGGAAAATTCTTCAAAATAAGAGCAAGATAAAATACAGACCATCAGCAGGCATTTATCAAAAAAAGTAAAAACCTAATGAATTGACCAAAGCCTAAATGTTGACTTGATGTCAATTTTCACCAGTAAAGCCCTGACCAAATAATCTAATTCTTCAGAATGGCATCCTCAAAGGTGGAATATGTTACTGAACACAATAATCATTTACATCATCAAGAGAATTCCTTTTTGGGAATGAAAGGTGGTAGATTTATCTAAAAGAATTAGGATCCTTTTTAACAACTACACGGAGCAGTGATATACTAAAATTCTCAAACAGAGAGGAGATAAAAGGACCAGCAACTCTATCTTCAGAAATTTCTTTGAACATTTTTTCTCTAACTACCTCAGGAAAGCGCGAAACAGACTTAAGATTGGGAATAACCTCCCATCCTGTCAGGGCTCCCAGGTGTGACCAGAGGTGTGTGACTGACGCAGGGAAACGCAGACTTCAGATATGTGATAAACAATATAATTTATTAACACTAACCATACAAACATAAACGCAGTGCAATACTAAAACATAATACAGTGCAAACAAACCAAACCAACCACCCACAGATAACAGTACATACAAGCAAGCGTCGTCAGGCAGGCCGGGTCAATATCAATAGGGCAGGTTGGTACAGGGGGAGCAAGCGGAGATGGGTCGGGGTCACAGGCCAGGTTCAGCAGGTAGCTAGCAGCGTAGTACAGAGGGTCAGGCAGAGGGATGGTCAGGGTCACAAGCCAGGGATCAGAACAGGTAGCAAGCAGCGTGGTACAGAGGGTCAGGCAGAGGGATGGTCAGGGTCACAAGCCAGGGATCAGAACAGGTAGCAAGCAGCATGGTACAGAGGGTCAGGCAGAGGGATGGTCAGGGTCACAGGCCAGGGATCAGAACAGGTAGCAAGCAGCGTGGTACAGAGGGTCAGGCAGAGGGATGGTCAGGAGCGAGCCGGGATCAGAGCAGGAGAAGTCAGCAGCGGTTAAGATCAGGCAGGGTCAGCAAAGGAACAGAAACAGGATGCAGGACAGATACAGGGCCCAGGACAAACACAACACCAAGGCCGAGTCTGCAAGTCTGGCCATCCCTTAAATACACCAGTATCATCAGTTCCAGGTGTTAGCTGGCTGAAAGGTTGAGTCTCTGATTGCTGGGAGCAGCACCCGCTGGCCAGCCCTGGTACTGCAGATCAAAAGGCAGGTGAGTCCCACCATTGCTGGCCAGTCCATTCCTGACACATCCATTACCCGAAAACTTGGGAAGTGGGAAACTGAATGTGAAACCATTAAATAGGAAAAGAGCTTTCTCCCTGTTTGCATATTTATCCATCTGTGAATCCTCACTGGAGTGCAGGCTTTTTTGAAAAATATCATGTTGTGTTTGTGTCGCATTACCATTCTTCTTAAAACATTTTATCACTGGATGATTCCCTGAGCAAAAAGAACACTCACGCCTGTAATGACATGATGTGTTCCACCTGCATTGTAACTCGTTATATATGTAAAACATACACATCTCCTATAAACCGACACTTGTATTTGAGTATTTTTAGGTATTTTTTTTTTAGAAGGTGATATTTGAGGTAGAATAAGGTTCAACCACAGCCCAACATCCTTTATCTCTCATTTTAGTTATGAGTGAATCACTAACTTCTGAAGAAACAACTCATCATAGTTGAACCCCCACAAACAACCCACATTTTTATAAGCTTCTAACACGTGGTCAACATGCTGAAATAATCCATTGCATAAATGCAAATGTTTTTTGGCCATAATACTAGAGAAAATGCAAAACCCCTGTAACCAGTTTGTAAGGGACCGCCTGGCGACACCACTAGCACTCCACTAATCAGGCGTCCCCAGCGCACGGAGTCTAAGTCCCAGAGTACTTGTTCACCAGAGCCCCTGATGGTGGGGATGGACTTGGAGTACCCCGGGACCAGGTCATGCTTACTGAGGACACCCGTCAGTGGTAGGGGTGGTCGCCAGGGGCCCCACGGGAGAGAGCCTGATAGGGAGGAGGTCTGGGAACCCCGCTGAGAGGAATGAATGGATGGATGGATGGATGGCGGAGCAAGTGCAGAGTCAGGCAAGCCGGGTCGGTAACAGGGAGGACAGCACGGTACAAGGCAGCGGGCAGAGAATAGTCGGGTCACACGCCAGGTCATCAACAGTAGGTCAGATCCAATAGGGGACATACGGAAGAGAGGTCAGGCAAAGCAAGGGTCTGGGCAGGAGAATTCAGCAGTGGTCAGGTACAATCCGGGTCAGCAACTTACAGGTTCAGGTTCAGATACAGGATACAGGATACAGGATACAGGGCAAGGACAAGACCAGAAGGCACTGAATGACAGCTCAGGGCCGTTTAAATATCGCGCCCTGCGCTGCCATTGGTGCCCAGCGGGCAGCGGGCTCCTATTGCGCATGCGCGAACCCACACGCCGCGGCCAGCCTGGACCTAGAGCCCGCGTCCCTGCACAGGGCGGCATACTGCCCCTGCGCCGGGACCATCGCGGCGGGGATCGAGGGGATCCCTGACATTGCCCCCCCCCTACGGCAACCTCCGGATGCCCACCCGATCTCTCCACCACGGGTGGTCACGAAGAAAAAAACCGCCGGACAAGTCTGGGTGCATGGACATTATGGGCTGGTTCCCAAGAATTGTCCTCGGGGCCATAGCCCTTCCATTTTATAAGAAATTGGGTCTGGCCCCCCCTTCTTCGGCACTTCAGGATCGTTTCCACCTCATATTCTTCTTGTCCCTCCACCGTTATGGCCTCCGGAGGTCTGGATTCACGTTCTGGGAAGGCATCCGGGATCACAGGTTTAAGTAAGGACACGTGGAAAACAGGATGAATTCTGAATGTTTCAGGGAGGGTAAGTTCATATGTCACCTCGTTGACCATTCGCTTCACACAAAAAGGCCCCACAAATTTAGGTCCCAATTTCTTTGAGGGACAAAGCATTCTCAAGTTGGTTGTTGCCAACCAGACCTTATCCCCAGGCTTCAGCACCAGATTCCCTCTTCGTTTCTTGTTATATGCATTCTTGTTATCCTCCTGGGCCCGAGCGATGGCTTCCTGTAGTACTTTGTTGTTCGAGGAGAAGAAGTTTAATGCGTCTTGCGTTGCCGGAACTGGGCATTCAGAGACCAAATCAGGAAGAAAGACAGGGTGAAATCCGTAATTAGAGAAGAACGGAGATTGCCCTGTCGCTGAATGGCTTGCGTTGTTATATGCAAATTCCGCTAAAGGTAACAGTGGTAACCAATTATCTTGAAGGAAGTATGTGTAGCAACGCAAGTATTGTTCTAGGGTCTGGTTGGTCCTCTCGGTCTGTCCGTTGGTCTGAGGGTGGAAAGCAGAGGAGAGGGACAACTTGATATCCAGGGCCTTGCACAGGGCCCTCCAAAATCTAGATGTAAATTGGACCCCACGATCTGAGACGATGTCCTCCGGGATTCCATGTAACCTTACGATTTCCTGGATGAATATTCGCGCAGTCTCGGACGCAGACGGAGTCCTCCTCAATGGTACAAAGTGAGCCATTTTCGATAATCGATCGATGACCACGAAGATCGCGGTGTGTTCTTGGGACGGTGGGAGCTCGACTATAAAGTCCATTGCGATCCCTTGCCACGGTCGTTCAGGAATCGGCAAGGGACGCAGCAGTCCCCAAGCCTTGTTCCTCGATGGCTTGTTTTTCTGGCAGACGGTACAGGATCTTACATAGAGTTTACAATCCTTGGCCATACTTGGCCACCAAAAAGAGCGTTGGAGAAGCTCCAGGGTCTTGGCTGGGCCAAAGTGTCCCGCCATCGGGTGGTCATGGCAATGTCCCAGGACAAGGGTCCGGACCTCTTCAGGGACCATGACCAACCCATCCTTCCATAGGAGTCCCCCCTTGTTCTGGAGGGACACACCAACTGGGACTGACGTGGCCGTGGATGCCTCCAATAGTTTGGACCGAAGGTCCGTCTGGAGCGCCAAGAAATTTCCTGCAGACAGAATCGTATCAGGTACCGGATCTTCTTTGGAGTCTTCAAACATGCGAGATAGTGCATCAGGTTTCGTATTTTTAGATCCGGGCCTATACGTGATGTGAAAAATGAACCTGGAGAAGAACAATGCCCATCTTGCCTGCCGTGGGCGTAAGCGTTTGGCGGTCCTTAGGTACTCGAGATTCTTGTGATCAGTGAAGATCAAGATGGGGTGCGAGGCACACCTTCCAGCAGGTACCTCCATTCTTCGAGAGCTGTTTTGATGGCCAACAACTCTCGATCGCCGATATCGTAGTTCTTTTCTGCTGGGGTAAGTTTCCTTGAGAAGAACGCTACAGGATGGAGCAACTCTTTGGTGCCCTTTCGCTGGTACAGGATGGACCCCACCGCATTCTCTGAAGCGTCTACTTCCAAGATGTATGGCAGGGCAGCGTCCGGGTGGCCCAGAATGGGTGCCGAGGTAAAGAGTTTCTTCAAGGCCTCAAAGGCTTCCTGAGCCTCCGGCGTCCATCTGAACCGGGTTCCAAGCTTGGTCAACTGAGTTATGGGGGAGACCAGACCCGAGAAGTTCTTAATGAACTTCCGGTAGAAATTCGCAAAACCGATAAACCGCTGGACGCCCTTCTTGTCCGCGGGTACCGGCCACTCCAAAATCGCCAAGACTTTCTGAGGGTCCATTGCGACCCCCGCGGTGGAGATAATCAACCCCAGGAACGTAATGCTAGGTTGCTCAAAGCAACACTTATCTGCCTTGGCGTATAACCCATGCTGACGTAACCGCCCCAACACCCTTGCCACATGTATCCTGTGATCCTTCAGGGAGGATGAGAAAATCAGTATATCGTCCAGGTAAACGATAACGAAAATGTCCAGGTAATCCCTAAAAATATCGTTTACGAAATGCTGAAATGTGGCTGGTGCATTGCACAGACCAAATGGCATGACCAGGTATTCAAAGTGCCCAAACCGTGTACGGAACGCGGTTTTCCACTCGTCCCCCTCCCTTATGCGAACTAGGTTGTACGCCCCCCTTAGATCAAGTTTAGTAAATATGACCGCAGTCTTCAGACTCTGAAATAACTCTGGCACTAACGGTAATGGGTAACGATTTTTAATCGTGACCCTGTTCAGCTCCCGGTAGTCTATACATGGTCTCAGAGATTTGTCTTTTTTTTCCCACGAAGAAGATCCCCGCCCCTGCTGGCGAAGTGGAGGGACGGATGAACCCCTTCTGGAGACTGTCCTCTATGTATTCCTTCAGGGCCCCCAATTCGAGTTCCGATAGGGGAAAAATTCGCCCAAAAGGAATCTCAGAGCCGGGTAACAGGTCAATGGGACAGTCATACGGGCGGTGGGGGGCAGGGCATCTGCTCCCCGTTTACTGAATACGTCCAGGAATTCATGATATTCTGTGGGAATAACCTGTTTCAGATCAGAATCCCCCTCGGAGCATAGGAGGGCCTGCCGGGCCTGAAGTGCGGCAGTGTTCCTGACAGTATGGGGAAGGGAACAAGATTGACCCGGTTTCCCAGTCAATTTGGGGGTTATGGGCCCGTAACCAAGGGAGCCCCAAAATGACTGGGAACAGAGGTGACGCAATGGCATCCAGGCGGAGGAATTCCCGGTGTTGGTTGGCAATGGTAGTGCAATGGGGGGAGTTTCCTGATTAACCACTCCTGATTTTATCTGGGAACCATCGGCCAAAAATATGTTAAAACCCCTCTTTCTGGGTTGGAGGGGATTTTCTGCTGACGAGCAAAGTCTAAATCCAGAAAACAACTGCATGCCCCCGAATCAATTATGGCTGTCACTTCCACGGTCCTTTCGGGGAGCTGAAAGGAGAGGGGTACAACTAAGTATTGGGAAGGACTGACATTGCCAATAGACAAGGAAGAAAAAGAGGTACACTTACTCATTTTCTGAGGGCAGGGTCGTACCATATGACCGGCTTCCCCCCCGCAGTAGAGGCAGAGGTTCTGCGAGCGTCTCCGCTGGTGTTCTTCTGGCGATAATTTGGGCCGAGCCAGGCCTAGTTGCATGGGTTCTGGAACATCTCCTGGGGGTGGATTCTGGATACTTGGTCTA